TATATATATTTGTATATACATACGTATATATACTAACTGTCTCTCTCCACCGGTATACCAGGGACCAGTATCATCACACCCATCTCGTCCACTCAGCCATCGCCAAGCAGTTGGCATCCCGTGCGCGGGGCAGGGAACAGATCCAGCAAAGAGTCGCCGGGCAATGGCAGTGCCAGTATAGGGTCCAATAAAGGGACCACTACGGCCACGGAGTCTGGGAAGAGGTCATCAACCGGGTCTACTAAAGGGCTTAGTTCTGCGGGAGATGCCATGGAGTGGGAGTGGGATGCTCCCCATACCCAACCCCTCAAAGAAGCCAACGCACGCACTCGTTTGGAGGCGGAATCGGCGGGAAACCCTAAAACCAGCCAGGATACGTCTCGCCGGGGAAGCACGGTCTCCTCGCTGGCGTCCAATCAGGTTGCTGGGAAATCAAAGGAGAGCAACGCGGGCACCAATAAGAACGCCGGGAACTCGGTAGGCGGTGCGGCGTCTGGGCATTCGTCGTTGAGTGATAAGCTGGTGGAGGTGGCGCTTGCGGCAGCCAATAGCAAGCCAGCAATAGGCCTGGGCATGAGCGGGGCCAGTTTGGGCGCAGGTGCAGGTGCAGGTGTAGGTGCAGGTGCAGGTGTAGGTGCAGGTGCAGGTGCAGGTGCAGGTGTAGGTGCAGGTGCAGGTGCAACGTTCAGCAAGAGCATGAGTCTGCAGAGTCCGGTGGCCAACAACGGCAGCAGTCCCGGCACGAGCGACAGTACCAATACAAGCAGTGAGACCGGTCCCAAAACGAGTGGGACAGAGCAGGTGCATGGGCACACGGCCGAGGGCAAAGGGCCGGGTGTGGACAACGGTGGGGTGGCTGAGCGAATTGGCCCTGGACTGGGGAAACCCGAGACAACGAGTGGTACGAGGAAGGGGGGAGGAGCACATGGTAGTAGCGGCAAGGATACGACCGACAAGCAGCCCAACCCTGGCCACAGCTCAGCGAGTATGGGCCAGATGGAGGCGGGGAGTGCGAGAGACAGGGACAGGGACAGAGATAGAGATAGAGATAGAGATAGAGATAGAGATAGAGATAGAGAGAAGGGAGCGCATACGGACAACAGAGAGAAGACGGCCAATGGGGAGAGTGCTGAAGGGCTGAGTGCTGGGCCACAGACTGTGCGATCGCCTGCGACCACTGCGCAGAGGCTGCAGGCCATACCCCACAAGTGAGTATGTTTGGGTGTGTACCTGTCCACAAGTGAGTGTGTTTGGGTGTGTACTTGTCCACAAATGATTCCTAAACCCTAAACACTAGTTGTTCTTAAAAATGTCTGCTGAGTATATGGTGTGTGTATGCAAACATGTGGCATACCATGTGGGCGTGTGGGCATGCATGAGCGCGTTTGTGTATCTGTGTTTGGGTGAGCGAG